AGTGTTTAGTGTATTTGACCAATAGTCTAAATGTATATTGAGGTCTAGCCACAGAAAGGTAGCTAAAACTCCTCGTATCCAGGGGCCTCCAGGGCCAGGGGCCTCCGGGGCCTCCAAGGGCCTCCAGGGGCCTCCAAGGGCCTCCAAAAACCTCCAGGTTCGAGGGTGTAGGGGTTAGGATTTAGGGTGTAAGGATGTAGAGTTTAAAGTTTGAGGGTGTAGGGGTTAGGATTTAGGATTTAAGGCTTAGGGCTTAAGGGTGTAGGGTTTTGGGTTCAGGCCTTAGGGACACCCATAAGCCTTCCATACCTCTCCTACAAGGCAAGGGGGGTCTTATTGGGGTCCTACAGCCAGCCTAAACCCTAAACCCTAAACCCTAAACCGCGTGGCCAGCTAAGACCTGGAAACCATAGCTGGAAGCATTATACACAATGCCTTCAGGAAGACCTATGGGTGGTTGCCAAAGTTATGGTCCCCTTTTGGGTACCCTAAATATTAATATAGGGATCCAAAAAGGGACCATCATTTTGACATCCACCCATATCCCTGATCCTTGGATATCTTAAACCCCTACCTAAACCCTAAGTCGCTAAACCCCAAGCCCTAAACCCCTGACCCCAGAACCCCAAGCAGCATAGGTAGTCGAGGAGCTGCAAGGAGAGAAGGACGAGGTCGAGTTGAAACGAACCGAGTTCCTAGGTGGAATTTCATCACAACTTCAGCACTTTGTCACTTGTGAGGTGCCTCTACTTCAACTTCATCAGGGCGCCACAAATTAGACTCTAAGCCCTAAACCCTATATTCTCCTTTATGGTCACTACTACAGGGTGGGGGGGGGGGGTAAACTTTTAGTGGCTGGTTTGACAACAACAAAGGTTCAGAGTTTCATCCATTGTGCTCAGCAGTGTATCTCGGTTTTGTTAGATGAGTAAGAGGATTTGATAACCCCAACCCCCCATTTAAGAACAGAATATAATGATATTATAGTCGTTGAGTCCTAGTTGGGGGGATTGGGGTTACACAAGTTCTCTTTCTATGGATCAGCTGCGTTTGAGTGGTACTTGTGCATTGCTGAAATGTTCAGGTTCATAAGGTATGGACCCATTGGACGGCAAACCCTAGACCCTCGATCCTAAACCGTAAATCCTGAACCCTAGGTTCTAAACCTTAAAGCAGGCTTCACCCGTGCAAGCTTCCAAGTTGGCCAAGTACAGGGGCTTAGAAAATGGCCAACATCACCTTGAGGTCCATTTGAGGGATCTATACTCCTTAAAGGGGGGTTATATAGGGGATTATATAGGGGACTACTATAGGGCTTATTAAGGGGGATACTCGGAGTTTAGACAATAGCTCATTTGAGGGATCTATACTATAAGTATACAAGGAGTTCGTATTCAATTATCCATCTTCGCGGGAATCTTCGCCCTTGTATAAAACAATTTTCCCATTTCATTTTCCAATGCCTGCTCCCGCTGCAAAACCTTCCCCACCCCCTGGCATGGATCTCGTAGTCTATTTCGGGCCAAAACTCGTAAACTCTGAACCCTGAGTAGGAAGCAATATTGAGAGTGTGCTGATGATGTTCCTATACGAGGCGCGCGCGCGTGCCGGTAGAGGAACATCATCAGCACAATTGGGACCCCATGTGGGTTAAATTTGGACCAGGAGGGGTCCAAAACCCAAGAAAAGCCATCAACAATGGCTTGAAACATGCTTCTTTGCACAGGCTGCCCATGTTTTAGCCCACAAGTGCAGTTTTTCGCAAATCAGTGGATAAGTTAAAATCGTGCAAAATCCTACCTGAAGAGCAACAACAGTGCTGGACACATGGGCAAACGCACCCAACAACCATGTACAGGGTTCGGCCAGGGCAATGCGCGCCAAACCTGCCTCATCAGCATCATGAGCATCATAGGGTTTGTTTGGGCCCCCAATTTCCTTCTTGACACCACACATATGAGGTTCCAACAGCCCTCCACAACCTTAGGTATGTTGAGATGTCCAAGAGTGAGAAACAAAGGCCCAATTGTGTTGATGATGCTGGCCCAAAAAAATTGCCCCAAACCTCCCGTAGCGTGGGGGAAAGCCTCAAAGCGCACCATAGATAGGCGCGCATCCCGCTGGACCACGGTGGCCAGGCCAGACTTTAAGAGCCTCGGGCTCAGTCCGCCGACCCAGTTCGGAGAACGCAACGACGGCGTTAACCCTAAACCGTAGACCTTATAAACCTAAATCCTAAACCTTGATTTTCAGTGGCTGGCACGAGACCAATCTGCGCAACAAAATTAGTTCAAGCTAGGCTCCCGGGAGTCCGCAGCCTTGCTGTTGCAGTGGCAACAAGCCAGATTGCCGGGATTGTGCAGCACCAACACTGCATTCCATTGTTGCAAACGTGGCGAGGCCTTGATGAAAGCTTGGCTTGGGTGAGCACCCTGATGAGCATGCTCACGGCCCTAGAGGTTTGGCCCCGGGCCTGGGCCCCAAGCGCCAATCATGCGCGGAGAAGTCCCCACGCCCTATATCTCAACCGTGGATTCGGCAGCCTTGCTGTTTTCCGTGCTTGCGCAGGAAATCTTTCGGCGCAACAAGCCAAGTTGCCGGGACTGTGCAGGACCAACACTGCATTCCCTTGTTGCAGACGTGTCCAGGCCTCGATGAGGGCTTGGGGTGGCCAGGCTACCGGGACTCCACAGCCTTGCTGTCCTCAGTCGTTGCGCAGGAACTCAATCGGCGCAACAAACCAGGTTGCCGGGACTGTGCACTGCATTCCAGTGTTGCAGATGTGTCCAGGCCTTGATGAGAGCCCAGCTGATGCTCGGGTAGCCTCGACCGGGCCCCAGGATGGGCCCGGGTTTTAGGGGCCTGGGGCCTGGGCTCTGAGGAGGCTTTTGAGCCGCAGCAAATCTGCAAAAACGCTATTTCCTGCTTCTTGTGGGCTGTAGGGAAGACAAGAAGAGGATTTTCACCTTTTCCGTCTCCTGGAACCAACACACACCCAGAGGTCGGCGGATAGCAAGAGTGTAACCCTAAATTCTCAAATCCTTAACCTTCAAAAATCCCCAATCCCGAAAGAATGACCCTTAAACCTAACCCCCATGCTTCTGCAGAGTTATGCTTGCAGGCATCTGCGGTCTTCAAGGCTATGATCAAGCAGGACAACAAACCTCAAAGACTACCTACACCCTTTGCTTAGTGTTTGTGGTCTAACTGGGTTTGACCTCAAATAGCCGCAAGCCCTGGAAATTATGGGGCTAAGGGTTTCGGTTTCAAGGTTATGATTTAAGCCTTCAACTAACCGCAAACCCTAGACCTGAGCGGTCAGAGGTTTGCAGCACCTTCTTTCCCAGGGCTTGGGCTTGCGTTCGGGGAGCCAAACTTTTCAGGGTTTACGATTTAGGTTCGGGGTTTTCAGGGTTTAGGCTTTTTGTCGTTTAGAGCTTTGGTTGTAGGTTTGAAGGTTTAAGCTTGATGGTTTGCTGTGGAAATGCGCAATGGCAGTGATGGTTAGGCTTCAGAGATCACGCATGAGCGCATCGTCTTATGCGAAATGCAGCCATGGCCGTCTCCTTCATCACTACCCCACGCCGTCGAAGTGGCCAAACCACCTTTAGGGTTTAGGACCTAAACTCAACTAGCTCCACCTTGGTCAATAGCACACAAATTCATCATTTTTTGTGCTGTCGTTGTTGAAGGGATCCAGGCCTTTTGAAAACCCCCCGAGGCGCTAGAAGACAGTGGAGGAAATCGGAAGGCCTTTGGGAGGCACCTGAAGGTCTGGGGCAAGTCCCTTACATTCAGAGGCCCCTGGGAGGCTGGGAGGCGCACAGAACCACTGGACATTCTGCAAGCGGCCCTGCGGGTTAGGTGTTGATGGTATTTGTTGTTTTTGCAGGTGTTGGTTGGAGACTTCACGCCAAAAGCATGCAAGTCTGTCAGCCCCCCCCCCACAGGGGATTCTAACAGATTTCTGGACCAGGCGCGCCAGAATCAAGGACCTTAGGGTGCAGGGTAAACACTTCAAGGCAACCAGCACTGGTTGCAAGCAGAAGAGGCTCCTTTTCTGGGCCTTGTGGCCCATACAAGGGGGTCTGATCCTAATGCAAAGTGCCCCAAAACCATGAAACCAGTTTTGCCGCTGTCTCTTCAGTGCAGTTTAAGGATGCTTTAGGTTCAGATTTCTCAAACTAGTACGTATATAATGCGTAGTAAGGACCCCCATCCTGATAATCCCTGTGTGTCGCTTGGGGTCCCTGGGGCGCCTTTACTTCGAGAAACTCACCTGTAGGGGTTGGGGTGGTACTATGAAGCAGTAAGGATCCACAAGAACCCCTGTTGTCAAGCAGGACAATTTTGTGGAAGGAGCCACATCCCAAGTTGTCATTTCGGACTTTTCCGCCGCTGCAGTCAGAGCCTTTCTGCGCTTCCTGCACTTTGGGGAGATAGAGCGGAGCCTTGCGACCATCCTGGAAGTGGGCATGCTGGCGGACAAGTATGAAGTCACCAGGCTACACAAGCTCTGCACCGAATATGGCAATAAGGTTCTGGATCGTGAAGTTCAGTGCGCGGAGGCCTGCAAGATGTTTGCGTTGGCAAATCGCTTTCAGCACACAGAGTTCGGGTGGCGTGCTCTAGAAGTGATACTTGGGAAGCCAGAAGAAGCATTGAAGGCTCGACCCTCACTCAGCGCCCGGCTTGTGCGAGAAATTCTGGCAACGGAAGCCCTCTGCCTAAACGGTGAGAAGCTCATGTCTCTGATGTCTATTTGGGCCGAGGCAGACAGCACGGAGGCAAGCAAAGTTGAACACCTCCTTGAGGCTTATGCAAAAGGTGTTGAGCAGGCCTATCTGCGGCTCCAAACCAGAAACGCTCTATTCGATTTGAGCCCCAAGATGTCAAAGAAATGTGGCTTTGGCTGCGCAGATCACGTTGCGTGCTTCCGGAGCATGGAGCAGGAGCAGCGTGATGCTGACAAGACCAAGATGATGTACAGCAGCGGCGCTATAACAGTAGTAGACAGTTAGATGGTGTGGATGCTGCCGTTCGTTTCGCTATACCTGACTGGCTTCCAGTTCTGGAATTCGCCTGGTCTTTCAGCCAGTCAGGTCCATTTCAAGGTCTTCTGTTCCAAAGATGGTTCTGAGTGGCGCCTCTGTCTGGATTCAAGGCTTCACGGGGACATTCAGGCGGGCCAGTCTGTACGCTGTGAGCATCATTCTGGAGTGAAGTGGCTGAAGCTTCACGTGCTTGAAGGCCGCTTCCACAGCGTGTTCAACGTGGCAGGCATCAGAGAAGTTTCTCAAATGATAAATGCCCCTAACAAATCAGCGACAGGCTCTCCCGCATAATCCCTTTACATTTTGTAATCCTCATATTGCCGTATGTAGCGTCCTCACAGTTGATGGACAAAATCCTGCATGACCCTGAACCCCTAAACCCGACCGCATTCCAATTCTCACACTTTAAGCCCTTCAGCAAACAACCCCGTGGCAGGCATTATTGTGCAAGCTGGACTGCCGGGAGACGTTCCTGCGCGAGACTTTTGTTGATTGGAAGGAGTTTGCGCATGGCTTAGGGCTTAGGATATGGGGTCTAGCGCTTAGGGCTTTAGGGACGGGGGTCGTCAACATCCACCATGACCGTGCCTTAACACCCCACACCCCAAATCATAGCGGGGTCACGTAGGATGCTGTCCATCAACTATTGCAGCCACCAGAAACTGCAAGCTAATGTTCTCTTAAAGGTTTGCTTTTGGACCCGCAAACCTTTGTCGCAGTTTCTTCCTCGCAAGCCGCAAAGCCTCTGCACTAAGGAGTTTGGGGCTGAGGCTTTAGCGCTCAGGGTTTAGGGTTTGGGCTAAAGGTTTAGGTTTTGGGTTGAGGGTTTAGGAACCCCAAACCGTAAACCCTAAACCCCTAAACCCCTAAACCGTATGCAACCGACCAACCAAGGACCGGATCCCAACCTCGGTTTGGGGGTTGCTGATCTCACTGCTGATTCCACTGAGTCAGAAGTAGACCAGCCGCAGCTGAAACGCCCTAGAACTGGGGTGCCGCTAAGGAACTTAGACTAAGTTACCACAATGGGTGCTCTTTAAAGGGGTTGTAGTACAAGGTTTATAGCCCAGAATATACGTATATAGAAGGCTGATATAGGCGTTGGGGTCCCTTAATTCTGAGAGATAGTAGATGTGACTTCCTATTTATGATAACTTGGTAACTTGGTTCAAGTTCCTTAACAGTAACACCCTTTTTCGCAGAAGCCCGACTAAACGTCGGTCACATGTGCTTGACGCGCGCCCATAAATTCCAGCCCCTTGCGGTTCACAGTCAGCAAAGCAGGACATGCTGCACAAGACTGATAGAAAGAAAGTCCTTACCGATTAAGGGCTTAGGGTTTTCTATTCAAGGTTCCGTACTAGAATTGGTATCCCTAAAGGGCCCACAATTTCATTGAACAACATACATGAATGGCCCACGAAGTCCATATTCCCACTCTCTGATGCTGGCTCCCAACGGTGGATGGAGGAAATCTTGCACCACTTAGGATCCGTCAGGTATCGTGATTGCGATTACTGGGGCCATTTGGATGGTGCAGGATGTCCTCAAATTGACAGCAGGTCCAGCTCACTCAGAAGCAGTCCACCTTTGGGGCTTTATAGCCCAAATATAGGCCCTCTGGCAGGCCCGGTTTCAAGTAGTATATGAATACTTGGACTTTCTGGGTAATTAAAGTACATCTGGTACTTACAACCTCGTTATGACCATGTTAGGGGACGCTATAGCCGCAGTTTCAAATGGACTATACGTGCCTTGAAACTCCAAGTAAACCCTAAGCCCCAAACCCTGAACCCTGAAGCAACGCATCAACTGCCCGGGCCAACCTCTATGTCATCCTCAATGGGAAACCCCAAATCCTAAACCCTAAACCCAACACTCTAAACCAGAATCCCTGCTGTCAAAGCCCAAAACCCTAAGCCCTTGACCCTAAACCCTCAAACTTGAAGCCCTACCACACAACTCTAAAACCTAAACCCTACACTCCACACCCCAAACCCTAAACCCTTAACTCTGAACCTAAAAGCTCGATATTCAAAATTCGTACGCCTAAACTCCAAAACCTAAACCCTAAACCCCAAACCCGAAGCCCTAAACCCCACGCCCCAAACCCTAAGCCCTAAACCCAAACCCTAAACCCCAAACCCCTAAACCTCTCAATGGGGCCTGCAATGATGAAACCCCTAGGATGCCAAGGGTGTGGCCATCTAGGAAAAGTGTCGGTACGAAAGTCTGTTTGAGCCTGAAGGGCTGGGTTTACGCTTAGGGTTTAGGGTTTAGGGTTCAGGGTTTAGGGTTTAGGGCCAGGTTTAGGGTCTAGTAAGTACCACTTAGCCCTAAACCTGAAGCCTAAATTCTAAACCCTATAACCTAAATCCTAAAACCTAAGCATTGAACCTTAAACCTCAAAACCCAAACCCTAAATCCTGATACCTCAAGCCTTTACCCTAAATCCTTAAACTTTAACCTTGGGTCTCCGGGTAGGAAAAACTAATCCCTAAGCCCTAAACCCTAAACCCTAAACTGTCAGGGCCGCGTCTGCGGCTACTGGGGCTTCAACCCCCAGATCGAGCGAGAGATTATTGCAGGCCCCATTCAGGGGATAAGGGTTTGGGTTTAGGATTTAGGGCTTAGGGTTTAGGATCTAGGGCTTAGGGTTCGGGGCTTGGGGTTTAGGCATGGGGCTTGGGGCTTAGGGCCAGATAGAAAGCACGGATAGATTCCCAACAAGCGAGATCACAGTTTTGCTACATGGCAGTCTGGAAAGTGTCCAGTTGGGTCTCCGCAAATATAGTGACACTGCTCAAAACCTCGGCTTCTGTTTGGGATTTTTCAGAACATCTCGTATGGAAATGGTAGTTTCCCAAAACATGGGGGCCCCAATATAGACCCCCAACTACTATAATCCTTATTATAGGAACCCCCAATGAGGTACCCTAAACCCTAAACCCTAAACTCCAAATCTGGAGCTGAACCCAACCCTTAATTCTGACGAACTTGAAGCCCTCCATCCACAACCTGAAGCATTGAATCCCATGCGGCGCATCTGAACCATAGTCTAAACTCCTTACAGGGGGTTATGTAGGGGGCTATAAAGGGGATTACTTCAGGGCTGATTAAGGGGGATACTAGGAGTTTAGACTATAGCCCATCTTGTGTTGCTGCTGAGGAACTTGAACTAAGTAGCATAGTACTTAAATGTAGTAAGAAACAGGCTTGGGGTAAGATGGTAGCTCTGTTTGAGGGCACTTGACCGCCATTTTTGAAGCCACTTCCCACATGCCCACGGTTTCACCTAGCTGCCAAGTATGGCAGGAAACTTTGGCAAGCAAAAAATCTGTTTGAGTTCCGTAACAGCGGCGCTAAGCCCTAAACTTTAGACCCTAAACCTTCAAACTGGAAACCCTAACCCCTAAGTTTCCGGTTGGCCATTACGGCCAGGATCCTAAGCCCTCATAATTTGAAGCCGTGCGTCTTAAGCCCTAAAACAGATCCCAGATCCTAAGCTCTGTAAACCATAAACCCTAAGAGGGTTTAGGGTGCAGGGCTTAGGATTTGGGGTTTAGGGTTTAGGTTGTAGGGTTTAGCGGCTTAGGGGTTTAGGGTTTAGGATGTAGGGTTTAGGGGCTTAGGGGTTTAGGGTTTAGAATGTAGGGTTTAGGTTTTAGGGTTTGAGACTTGAACCCCAAAACCCCTAAACAAGGCTCGGACTTCTTCCTGATGCCGTCGAGGCCGCAAATGGCTGAAACGCTGTTTAGGGCTAAGGGCTTAGGGTCTAGGGTTCAGGGCTAGGGCTTAGGGTTTAGGGTTTGGGGCTCAGAGGTCAGGGTTTAGGGTGGATGCGTAGGGTCTTGGGGCGTGGGGTTCGGCTTCATGCAGGGCTTGGGGTTCTTACCTAGCAGTCCCCAATAATGCAAAATGGGGGTCACATTTAGGGAGGTTTCCACAAATAAGGGGCACCATTTTGGCGGTCCCCATGGTCAGGCTTATAGTTCTTAGGGCCTCTATTTGGGTTCCGCTATCTATGGAAAATACCATGTGGGCCCGAATTACAGCCATCTAGGTGCACTTTGGGACGAAAAGGATTGCCTTAGCTCGCCCTGGACAGCAAGAAGTTTTGAGGTTGAGGACGTCACCTGGCCTCACCCCAAACGGAAAAAAGTTTTAGGGTTTTGGGTTTTGAGAAACGGAGACAGACCTAGCGTGGACTTGTGGAGGCTCTAGAATTCGTATCTGTTTTGCTGCTAAATGGCTAGAGTTGCAGATTAGGGCTGAGGGCATAGGGGTTGAGGTGTAAGGATTATGTAATGGGTTTAGGTCTTAGGGTTTCGCATACTATGCCCCCCTGGACTACCCTCCTAGGCTCCCCATTACTTAAGCCTAAACCCGAAAGCCTACACCATAGTTAAGGGGGAACCTTGGCTTCACTTTATACGAATATCAAACCAACTCGCAAACTCCAAGCCCTAAGCCCTAAACCCACCCCAACATTCAATGAATGTGCCGCCGCCCCCGCCCCCCCCTCCCCCCCCCCAAAAAAAAAACGTTTCTTACGGGAAAATTCGATGTTGAGGGTGGGGGTGAAGCTTGTGATTCCTGCCAGTGCAGTCACATGTCCAACACGCCAATGCATGATGTCCATATGCTCAAGGTTCTAGTGTGGACTCAGTAGCACTCCAGTGCCTCAGCTGTAAAAGAGACACCTGACTGCCTTGCTGT